ATAGGGTAACATATTAGCCAACACTTACTTTATCATCCCTCACATAAAAATATGAATTTATAAGGAAGAGAGAAGAAGTGGGAGGAGGAGGAGAAGAGGTGAGGAGAGGAGATTAGACGAGGATGCAGTTGCACTTTGGAGAGGTAACGCTGAAGTTAAAAGCTGATATTTATAGAGACAAGGATCACAGCCTGTATTCACTTTTTTATGTTCGGTGAATATTGAGTTTAAGGCAATATTTTCAAGAGAGAGAAGAGAGGAAGGAATACAGAGGACGAGGGAGGGGTAAAGAGGAAGATGAAGGAGAGGAAAGAGGACAAAGATGAAGGAAATAGAGGGGGGGTGGGTGGCGAAATGTCAAGGGAGGGTGTCGACATGCTCTCTGCAGCAAAGCAGTGTCGCCAACTTAAGAGAGAAAGACGAAGCACAGAGGTCACACACACGTCGGATGCTGGAGGAGAGAGGGAATAACCGCTCCACCGAGACGAGTAGAAAGAGAAATAATTATCCAAATGAAAACAGGGCGAGTCGTTCAAAAGCCTTGAAGAGTGAGGAAGGAGTGAGGAGCAGAAGGATGGAGTGATGAGACCGAGGAGGTGGAGAGGGGGGACGGATGATGAAATCAATCATTATCAAGGCCGCGTCCTCGCCCGCACCTCCGAGCAAAAAAAAAAAAAAAAACCCGGAGAGTTCATTTTAAGCTCGCCTCCTCGATCCGGTCGTCACAACATCGCTCTCGCAAATGCGTCGCGCTCGAGGAGGCGAATTCCTCCGAGCCGCCGAAGAGCTTCTGGGAGAAATGGCCTGAATCCTATTCAGAGCGACGGCGGTGGCGGCGGCGGCGGAGAGGAGCAACAATGGGAGAGTGGAGCTGGTGGAGGAGCGGAGGGTGATTCACAGGAATCTGCAGTTAAAACTCGTCAGAGGTTCAATCTGTGTCGGAGCCAGAAAATCAAACCTGTTAATGCACATCACGTCTTTTATCATTCACTTGTTTTTTTGTGTCTTTATTGGCTCTTTATCTGTTTGGAGTCATTTCAGGTTACAGCAGGTAGCTTGTAAAATTCATGAAAGTTTCTTCAAATACTACGAGTTCTTTTCAGTTCGGATCTATTTCCCACGTGTCGCTGTTGTAAGTGATGTTGCCAGTTATAATTCTTCTTATTATTATTATCATTATCATTATTATCATTATTATTATTCGCTGTGTCCTGCTTCATTTAAAGACAGCGGTGCGACTTGACCGTCCCATTTCGAAGGCTGCTTCAAAAGGCGTCCTTTGTTTCCTGGGCAACGAAGGCTCCAACAGGTGGATCCCTCGAGGCACAACCTATCCCAAGATTCACTGCGCACCATTAATGAAAATAACAAGGCAGCAACCAACACCGACAGAGAGTCTGAGGATTACACTGCTCAATGTAAGTGACTAGTTTCAGCTCAGCTCAACAGCTAACGGTACAACAGTTAAAACCGGGATGCTAATGTCATGGTTGTTAGCACTTTCGTCCATCAGTGCTGGGACGTCCGTGTTGCCGTAACTGTTGGCAATTCAGCAATTCAGCAACAGCACAACAGAAACAGAATAATTCCCTTTGTGGTCGACACTTGACTGAAGAGCGACTGAATCAGTTTCAGGGTTCAACGTCGACTCCCGACAGAAATCATTTTAAAAGGAGACGGTGTAAAGATTGTGTGTAAATTATCTGCAGAGATCAAATGATGGTGATGAGAGAAAAAGAATCTCAGTTGCCAGAATTTCCTTAAACTCCAAGATAAATAAAAACGTTTGACACAAACATAACGGCAGGCTGAATATTTTCCCTCTGATTCATTACATATCAACCAAATTCAAATGTTTCTACCATCAGGAGATAAAATGAAACCACTGTGAAACCCAAGTACAGACCTACAGTTCATATCTCTTAGATAAACACTGTTACTGAGCTAAAACATGGAGAACAACCAGTTTAACTGTGAGAAATGCTGATGAGCTGAAAGCAACGTTTTCATTCATCTGGAGAGTTGATGAGAGTTTAACACGGAGACGTCACAATGAATCTGATTGAAATGTCACAAGTCGCTGCGCCACAGCGATGATGAGGCCTGTGGGCGGGGCCTGAGCCCAGCTGTAGATGCTAACAGGAAGAGAAAGGTGAACGCAGAAGGTGTGGAGAGTAACACACACCAACACACACACACACACACACACACACACACACCAAGCCTGCCAGTGGCCGGCAGGCTTGTGAACATCTGTCATACCTGCCTGCTCCAATCCCATCACACACACACACTCACACACACTCACACACACACACAAACACAAACACACACAATACACAGTGTGAATGGTTGTGACAGCTAAACACAGCAGCATTAGCCCAGAAACACATGTTTCATATATGCTTTACACACACACGCACGCACGCACGCACGCACGCACGCACGCACGCACGCACACACCTGTCAGCAGGGAGTTATTTCTACATGCACAGTGAAAACACATCACACTCAAAATGTTCTGTGATTTGAGAGTCTTCAATCTGAAGTTTTGTCTGAGCAAAATTAAAGTTTGAAGAGTGTGTGTGTGTGTGTGTGTGTGTGTGTGTGTGTGTGTGTACACAAGAGTGTATGTCGTCAGCCAGAAAAGTGTTTGTGAAAGCAAAGCGGGAGGGCTTCAGGTGGGCACGGCAGGGAGTCTGACACTCTGCGTGTGTGTGTGTGTGTGTGTGTGTGTGTGTGTGTGTGTGTGTGTGTGTGTGTCAAAGACAGAGCTGCTCATGATTTCTCCTGGTTATTTATCAGAGCTGTGACGTGGGTCTAATTCATGTCCACGACCGAACCACGACGCTTCGACCAATCAGCATCCCGTGAGGGAGGAGCTACTGGCAGCTGTGGGCGTGTCTTAGGTGTGAAGACAGCGAGAAGCGAAGAGGTTAGCGCAGACGCTGCTATAGCGTCAGTTACATCACCAGTCTCTGGTCATTGAAAGAGGAGGAGATAAGAGCACTGACGGCCTTGTCTGATTGGTTGAAGTCACATGATGCACGGTGACGGACAGATGATTCATCCAATCACCTGCCAACGAAGCCAGCGTTCATCCAGTAAAGCCTTCGCAGACAAACCATCTGGTGTGTAAGGTTGAAAACTACCTGCTACATCAAAAGTCTTGTATTCATCCACTGTTGAAAATAATCCCCAACGAGGCAACGTTTACTGCTGCTGGAGGAACACTTGCTAAAATCTACAACGTCCAGATGTTTGGAGAAATCACTGAGCCTTTTAATAAATGAAGCTTCATCCTTATTACCATTTTAAAAAGTTTGTATTTGTTGGCAGTAATTAAACATGTTGAATAATGTTGATTTTACTCTTTAAAATGGAAGAGAAAGATCGAGAGAAGGTTTAGAGGAAGAGACTGATGGATGGAAAGTGAGAGTCTGTACTATTAACACGTCATTTTCACCTGCTGATTACCACATAAACAACACACACATGCACACACACACACAAACACACACACCACATAATTCCCTCTCCAATCAAATTAAAGCACCTGCCAACTTAACCCTCCAAAGTTTTGGCGTAACTTACTTCTTACAAAAGCAACTACAGCCTCAAGATGCACACACACACACGCACGCACACACACACACACACACACACACACACACACACACACACACGCGCAAGCTATATTTTCTTACAGACAAACAGCTCCTTCACCTTTTCTTCCACTTCTCTGTTTGTCTTACTCCCTCCATCTCTTCTCCTCTCAGGAAAAGAAAAACACTGACAAAGGCCTTTGTCTCTTTTCTTTGCAGCGCAGAAAGCTCTGGAGAGAAGTGGCTGAGCGAGAATGACAGACAGAAAGAGAGGGAATGTGAAAAGAAATAAAAAAAGAGGAAGGCAGGGACACGGAGAGATGGGCAGAGTGAGGAGGGGAATAAGAAGAGGAGAAAAGTGTGGTAGGTGAGAGGATAAAGAAAGAAACAGTGACTGAAAGGAAGAGACACAGAATGTGAACGAGAGAGAAAAGGCTGATATGACCCAGCAGCGTCTCTACGGCAACAGGTGCGCCACACCACACCTTCACAAAAACAACGGAGTTAGGTTGAGGAAAAGATGGCGGCTTGGGTTAAAATATTGGTACTTCATTAAGGTAGGGGGACCTTTGTCGTCATGGTTACGATAACAAACACGCAGTTACGACTGTGGGACGATCGTGGGTAAAAGAAACACTGACTGTTGGTTTCACATGGGAAACGTCTCATCACTTTCACCTGACTTCCTACTTCGTTCCTGTCAGTATAATAAAAATAATAATAATAATAACAATAACTTTATTGATATAGCACGTTTCTTAACAAAGTGCTTCACAAGAAAAAAAGGAAAAGCAGATAAAAGAAAAATCCAAAGTAACTGAGCATCAGAAAAAGTGTAAAACAACATAAATAAATCAACGTTACGCAAAAAGATCTGACAGTGAGTGAAAGTAAATAGTAAATACAGTAAAAAAGAGGCAATAAAATAAGTAAAAACAATAAAGCACATGTCGGGCATCACCGAAGGCGGAGACGAAGAAATGCGTTTTAAGAAGCGATTTAAAGGAAGTTAAAGAGTTACAGCGGCTGATTTGGGTCGGGAGAAAGTTACTGGTCGTAACTATGGGTTGTAATAAGCTGCAATGAAAGCCAGAAGAAGAAGAAGAGGAAGAGTTAGTGAGGAAGAGGAAGAGAGGTGGAAGGATTGTTGTGGTGATGAGGAAAGAAAGAGGAAGTGAATAGCTGTGAACAACAGAGTCCACAGAGAGGAGCTGTACTGAGGCCCAGGTTTCCTGCTGCGTTAACTAATCCACACACACACGCACACACACACACACACACACACACACACACACTGTTTCAGACCGATCAGCTCCAGCACAGAGTCGCCCTCAGACAGGAAGTGAATCAAAGACCCGAGCAACACAAAGAAGAAGAAGAATCAAACTCACTCACCTGCACATTTGGTCCTGGTGACCAGCGGCGGCCCCGGAGGCCCCGTCCCTCCCTCCCCGGGTCTGGACAGCAGCACCTTGATTTCATACTCCACGTCTGGGTCCAGATGCCACAGCTTGTAGGTGGGGGCGTCGACCACGTGGGTTTCCGCCCAGTTCCCCGAAGTGGTGCGGTACTCCACCTCCTTCAGGATGATCGGCCCGTCGCCGATGATGCTGTTGGCGTTGGGCTTGATCCAAAGGTAGGTGGCGCCCACGGCGAGAAGCTCGGGCGGAGCGATGGGGGTGGGCGGAGCTGTGCAACGGAAAACAGAGTAGATGATTAAGTGAAGTCCTTTCTGTTTTTATAAAGATCAAAGAAGAAACTGCACCAACACCTGAGCTCGTCACTGCTGAGATACAAACCTGAACCCATCTTCCCCTGGAAACTATTTTAAAGTCCAATCAGTGCTGCCACACACACACACACACACACACACACACACACACACACACACACACACACACACACACACACACACTCACTCTTACGGCACTCTTTAATTTCCAAAAGTAGCAGACACAATTTGAAATGCATCATTTCATTACGTGGCGTTTTATGTGCAACCCGCCTGCCAAGATATTGTCACCCCTCAGTTCATTTCCACAACACAAATATCCATCAGCAACATGAAAGAAAGTTATGACTGTGTCACGAGCATATCAATATCCGGTTTCACCAACATCTCACATTGTGCTCTGATACCCACGCACCCTCACGGACTCTCGGACGACCGCGTTTTGTGAAGGAATGTGTGATCTTGGAATTAGAGATGGAATCTTATTCATGCCGTCAGAGCCGCCGCCGCCGCCGCCGCTCTGTGATGTAAATGTGAAGTTAAAGCGGTTTGACGTCTGAATTGAAAACAGGCGCTAGAGGCTAAAAAAAGGAGACGTTTGAGAGAGTGAATTCCCCACCTGTAGCACTAATCCATCACTCTGTTGACATGTTGCTGACAGCTACTTTGCCACTAGACTTTCACATTATGCTACTTAAAAATAATGGCCTCTGTCAAGCCTAAAAGCATACGATGCTTTATTACTCCTTCCTGGGCTTTTCTTTTTTTCTTTTCTTCTTTGTGAGACACAAGCTTCTTTTCAAAATGAGTTTTCAAAGATCCATATGAGAAGTGAGTACTCGTTGAATTGATACACACAAAGGTAGAATATACAGCCCACGCACGAGGAGGTGGCCACTTACAAAAGCGATGCAGAGACGCAGCAACCTGGATCTGAAACACTCTCGGTTAAAGAGCAACAGGAACAGGTGGAAGCAACCATGTTGACGGTGACATTGTTTTTCTTTTCTTTCCTGACGGACATTAAAGGGGCTATATGTACGTTTTCTCTGCTGCAGCACGTGGTTTCTTGCCAGCAGCGGAGTGATGGTGATCGTTCTCGACGAGCTTCAGTCATCGTTGCGTTTACAAGACGAGAGGTTATAATATGTCCTCCGAGCAGCGCTGCTTCCTCAGGGCAGATTGGAGGCTACAATGAGTCACTAGCTGGTTAGCATGCTAACTTCAGTAGAAGAAAGGACGTGATAGAGACGAGAGTTAACATCAGTGTCTCTTTCCACCTCTGGAGACAGATGTTTGTGAGTAAAAGAATGAAGATTGATGCTGAACTTCAAATGCTTCTTCTAGACTGGTAAGTAAACAGCTGCTAATGCTAACGTTAGCTATGTAGCAATGGCAAAACTTACAAATAGCTGCTTTAAACTCCTGAATCATCACTGTGGTAAGTACCACGGACAGCTCCTACATATATGCCGGTCCTGGGATCAGCACCATGGACAGCGCCGTGCAGTCACACAGCAAACACATGAGGATGCTGCAGAGTGTGGACTCACTTATTGATCGTATTGGGTCTTTATCGCAGTGGAACATAATGTTCCTTTAGATCAATAAAGTTTGTAGCCTTGCTGTGACATAGAGGCTTCCACACAGATAAAATCATACCTGTTTGAGCCCCTTCACGTGCCCCCCCGCCTCCCTCCCCCACTGGAAAACTAAACAGCACAGAGAAAACATGGTTCTATATCGTTTTTAAATGTGCCAACTGCAGATGAAGATCTTTGTCTTATGTCATCCCTCCATCCCTCCCCTCTCCTCCTTCATTTCACCCCCTAGTTTCTGTCACGTTTGCAGGAATAACTGAACCCAAATGCAGACAACACAAAAAGGGTAGAGGTGGGAAAAAGGTCTTTTAACAAACAAAGGAAATGTACAAAACTGGTGAAACTGCAGAGAAGTCAAACTGCTAAATGAACAGGAGCAGAACTGGAGAACATCTGGAAATCAACAGCAGCGCAACGGTCGGACTGACAGAGACGAGTGGGAGCACGGAGACTAAATACACACCTGGGAGGCGAGAGTGATCGAACACAGGTGTAACACACAGTCTGGGGCGGGGCAGACAATCAACAAGGAGGGAAACACGAGATAAAAGGCAGGAAGTAAAAACACACAAGGAACTCTACTACAAAATAAAACAGGAAATGAATCAAAAGTCCAAACATAAAGAGTCCATCAGGGCAAACCATGACAGTTTCACCTGTCTACTGTCAGGCATCAAGTATTTTCTAGCCATGGTGGTCTGTTCAACTATTTATCACTTATGTTTATTAAGTTTGAACATTATACATCTCTTTTCTAGAGCGGTTTGGATTTATCTTCCCTCCCTCTCTTCCTCCCTCCCTCCCTCCCTCCCTCCCAACCTCTCACCCATGAACTGGTAGCCATCAGCGTTTATGACAACAATTATGATGGTTTAAAAATGATGATGAATAAATAAATAAAAGATATAAAAATAGATCCACGGGTTTATCTGTGTACTTACATACCTTTATATGAAAGGGAAAAAAGGCATACAATCTCATATAGTTGCAGTTCAGGAAGAAAGGTCGTTCACCCAAAGGTTCAAAAGATGGACCACAATCACTTCCAGTGTCTAGCAGTAAGAGACGGAGGTTAACCCGCTTCCTCCCATGAGTTCTTATCTGATAGAGAAGATGTTTGACTTGTAACATCGACACTGCATCTTTTCCCAAACTGAATTCACTTCAGAGCAGTGTCGTCTCTATTTTCAATCATCCAGACGCCCCGATGTCACTCATTAATCACCAACATGCAAGTGAGCAAATGAGCTATTATCATCACAGACTCCATAAACTGATTATGATGCTCAAAAAACAAAATGCTGCGTGATTGTGCACATTAACTCCTCACTCCAAACAGTAAGCAACTAAAAGAGTCATTTTAAGGCTGAAGTCTGGGTTCTCTTAGTATTAATCTTTTCTTTTTTCTCTCTCTCTCTCTGTGGCAGGTGCTTTGTCAGTTGACAGCTGTGTTATGCCGGCTAAGAAAAATGGCCCCTTCTCTTCCCGCTGTCTAAAAGCAAAAGTCCTGATTTCACTGTGCAAGTTTTTTTTTTCTTACTTTCCTCAAGGACCCATTAGAATATGTATGGTGGCTGCAAGACCGATGAATCAACTGTCAGTCAGCACACACTCATCCATCTCAACTATATGCAGCCTGTGAGTAAGTGTGTGTGTGTGTGTGTGTGTGTGTGTGTGTGTGTGTTTGGAGGAGAGGGTAAAAAACAATAAGCATCTCTGTGAGAAAAAGGTGCATGTATTTGAATGCATATAGACTCCAGTCAAAAATAAATATCTTAATATTCATGAAACCTTTTGTTCTTCGCGACGGTTTGGAAAGAAAATTTAAAGAAGATGGAGAAAAATAAATGATCCTCATCATCCTGACACACACACACACACACACACACACACACACACACACACACACACACACACATACAGACACACAGACAACAATTTTGTCAACAAAGGCTTCAGTCCGACTGTTTCCTTTCATTTTGTGTGTCACATTTTCTAAATGGTTTCATCTCTGCCTTAATGAAAGAGCACTTCACTCCTTCCAGGCTGATTCACTGGAAGCGAAACGCTCTCATCCTGTCGCAATTTCCTCCCCTTGTTTTGAAGCGGGCCGGATTTAATACACACAGATAAATAAAAGAAGATGCAGAAAAATCCCAAACACACAATTTGCAAAACGGTCAGCCGTGATGTGGAGTACACATGCCGCAGTAACAAGACGGAACACCCACACTTCCCTCCAACGGCGGCCTGTTAACTGTGTTTTACAACTGCTTTAACGGAGCCGACTCTTCATTACATCATTTATATTCAACAACTTCTCCTGATGTTGCTCCACGGGAAGAGAGAGCGGGATCGTTCAATTACTCCCTCCGTCTGTTTCCTCCCACCGTCGCTCCATCCCTCCCTCTGCCAGCTCGTTTACAGGGGAGAGTTACAGAGACCGCCCAGCGACACACAACCTGGCGCCCAGGATCACACCGAGGGAGGGGTGGGGGTGGGTGGATGGGTGGGGGTGGGGTGGGGCCACATGCAGAAACACTGATGCACATTTTCCATGATAGAAAATAGCAACACATATTTGTACTTCTTGCACACGTGTGAAAACGCCACAGAAAGTGACGCCCGAGCTCATGAACGTGCACACACACACACACACACACACACACATGTGGAACTCAGACACACAAACAACTAAGAAACACACATTCTTTAAATATGTAAAAAAAACACACACATGCCTCCCTACATGGAAACAGACACACTGGTTGCTAATCAACTACAGTCAGACTTCATACAGTGATGCTAATGAAGTGCGAGGGAAGGGATGAACGAGGGAGGGAGGAAGAAGAAAGACGGATGTCTGTGGGGAGGAGCAATAGAGGGGGGGGGGGGGCAAGGAAGAGATGATGGAAGATGGAAGAAATATTTGGTCAAAGGATGTCAGAGAGGAAGAAGAAAGAAGGGGATGAAAAGGAGGATGAGCAGAGGAGGAAAGGATGCTTGGGCAAAAGAGGAAGGAGGGAAACATGAGGATGAAGTGATGAGAGAACCAACGTTTCCCCGTGAGGTTCGAGGCTGGACACGAGTTCAGAACGTGGCCAGAGAGCGCACGTGTGCGTGTATAAAGGTTAAGAAGGTTTTCCTGTTGGTACGATCCTGCAGATCCACCTGAACAGGAGGAAACTCTTTGTGCTTCATGATAAGATACAAACATGCTGCACTGCACATCGCCTCAGATAAATACTTTTATAAATGCACACACACACACACACACACTTCTCCTGCAGGTGAAGCTCAATCACAAACAGAGAATTTACCTCTTCTGGGAATTTTCCAAACACAAATAAAAAAAA